CTTCATCTACCTTCCTTTCATTTTCAATTCCTCTTCCTTCCTTTCCTTTCTTCTTCATCTACCTTCCTTTGCTCTTCCTCTTCTTGTTCTTTCCTTTCCTTTCCTTTCATCTTCATCTTCATCTTCTTTCCTTTCCTTCCTCTTCCTTTTCCTTTCCTTTTATTTTCTTCGATTCTCTTCTTCTCTCCCTTCCTCTATCTGTCCCTGTATGTCTAATCTCCTCTCCGCCTTTTATTTATTAAACGACTAAATGAATAAGTCTGCGGGTGAGTAGATGAATAGATAAAAGAACAGAGTAATAAAGTGGACCCGACCCTCTAAACTTTTAATGAGCTATATAGCATCTAATTAATTTTTTCAAAGGCTGCGGATATTCAGGAGCAGAGGTTTGATTTCACACACGGCGCAGGTCACACTCCTTCATATGGATGGAGGGGGGAATGAATTATCCTGTCCTCTCTCATTAAAGGAGAGACACACTCCCTCGCTCTCTCACACCTCCATTTATTAATTTCTGCCATTCCTTCATTCATATGTCTTTATATGTAAATTGATAAGTGCAGCAATCACAAGCACATCTTAAATTCCCCATATAGCTCTTGTTTGCCCCATAATTCATATTCATGAGCTTGATGCATATGCATGGCATGCAAATATCAGAGCTAAATGCGAAGAGGTCCATCCAGGTCCGTCGCGACCCGAAACGTCCCGTCTGTCACCGGCATAATGGCAGTTAATCAAGGTATTAACAGCAGATTACATTGATCTAGTGCTGACATGGTATATTTCTTGGTTGAGAATGCAAGAAACGTTGTCCGCTGATCTCAATGTTCCGCAAAGCAAAACGAAAGGTTTTTAACTATTAGGGGTTGTATTATAGACAAATGTTTGGATATTGTGTAGAAATGCTCTCTACACTCTCAGAAAAAAAGGTACAAAATCTGTCACTGGGGCGGTACCTTTTCAAAAGGCACACCTTTGTACCTAAACAGTCCATATAGTGTTCTTAATATTTTTATCATATCCTGATTATTATACACCAATGCATTTTGCTAGTATTTTTTTTTTACAACTTCGAAAAATAATGTTTTAGTGTGGTCACTATAAATCAATAGGCATTTAAAAAATATTGTCTATCTTAATTATAGTATTAAAACTCTACAGTTGCATTATTTGTGACTGTATATACAGCATTACATGGTCTCTCGTACCTTATTGCTGAATTGAAGCCATATGAGACAGCACTATAAAAGTGGCTTTTTGAGTTTGCAGTCCAGAAGAGAGCACGCTGCATTTGAAAGTCCTCTCAGCATTTTAATTCACCATTTAGAGTCTAAAATGGCGTTCAGTGAAACATATACAGATGGCAATTTAGCCCAACACCTGCCCTGAGGAAGGCCTGTGCTAGCACCTGCTCATTTTAGTGTCTCAGACAGTGAGAAAATGATTCAAAATGACTATTCATCTATGCAATACTGCTTGAAATTGCTTACGAAGTGTCTAGCAGTTACAGGGAGACTTTAAAAATATGGGAAACCAGTCTGCGATCTGATTAACATGATGATTGATTGCTGAGAGAGAGAGAGTTCACAGGAATCTGTCATGTAATGAATGACATCATCTCAACCTCAGTGAGAAGAAAACACCATATCTTCCATTTCTAGCACTTTTTGTCCCTTCTTTCAGCTCCTCAGGGGGTTGAGTGGACGGCTGTCTCAGTCTCGGGCTCACTGTAGTCCTCTCTCTCTCTCTCTCTGGGGGCTCGTGGTTCTCTCTGCGGGACTGGTCCGAATCGCCTCGAGCCTCCATCAGAACTTAAATTATTTCCTCAGAAATGTCTGCTGGGAGTGTGTGAGTGTGTGTGTTGATGGCTGACAGCTCACTGGTTAATTGGAGGAAGCCGGACAGCACAATTCTCAAGATTAATTCTCCAGGAGCTATGTGGCGATCAGCTCTGTTCTGGGGTTTGTGTGCGTGTGTAGATAGAGCATTCTCTCTTGGATTTAGCCGTTTCGACTGGCCGAGCAAGAGCAGAACTTGTTATCTGGGGCTTGGTTGGCGACAAGTCTGGGTTCGATGCAGCTAATGCGTCTAGGTTTACACGGAACGCTGGTTGCTGTGGAAGTATGTGAAAGTTTTCTTGGCTGTACTTTGAGAAGAAAATTGTCCCCAAAAGTGAGCTAAAACTAACAAAAGCTTCATTTGGGACTGCCCAAGAGCATCCTCAATTGGAAAACTGATAAATAAATAAAAATTGTTTGTTTAAAATATATGTATTAGAAAAAAATAGGCAAAAATATTTAATAATAATAATAATAATTATTATTATTATTATTATTATTAGTTCTAAAACTCTTAAAGGTACAGTAGCAAAACATTTTAATTCTAAATAACAGTTTGGTGCAAGAAACCTTGAGTAACCTTAAAAATTGACTTCAGAGCAAAACAATAGTGTGGAATATGACTCATTTAGGATCAATATGAAATGTGCCTCTATTTTCTTCGTCTGTGTCAGCAGCAGAGCACTGTGTTTCATCAGTTCATCAGATCACATCACAGAAACACAGAGTCCTGATCTCTGCGGTCATGCAGCTGAACCAGCAGAAAGTGTCCGTCTTGTATAGCTGCAGAATTAATGATAAACGAGCACAGGAATCACCTCAGCTCTTTATTCAGAGAGATAAACCCGGGCTGGAAAAGTAAGCAGAATTTATTCACCTCCTTCTGCCGTAATTCAGAATCAATGAACGGAAAGACCAGCATGACCCTAATATTTCACCCTCATACGGTGTGTTTTGGATGCTGATGTGCTCATTCTTATTCTTCTTACATAAATGGCTAACTAAACAAGCTGCATTTTGCATGTAAAACCATTTGACTCAAAATCTAAGTGGGCCTGTTTAAACAAAAACTGGAGATGAAGGGCAGTGGAATGGACTGGAAGTCTAGAGATCAGTTTTTTTTTTTTTTTTTTTAAGTTGAACTACT